AATATCATAGATACAAATACGAAATTTTGGAGCTCGATAGTCACATGTTGTCGTTGTACACAGGCATTGAAAACTGTTCATTGTCACATAAGGCCCCAAGGTTGCGCTGAACTCAGTATCTTGTGTGACCACCCCGCGCAGCAATCACGGCTCGGCAATGACGAGTGTACGAATTCTGTCCTGCGGAATCCTGCGCCATTCTGCTTGTAACGCGTTGGTCAGTTGTGGCAGTGTCTGCGGCGTGTTCTAACGTTGACGTACATCGAGTTCATCGTAGATGTGTACGATTGGGTTGAGATCTGGAGATCTCGACGGCCAGGGCAGGCGTTGATGTTGACATTATGGAGGTAGTCAACCATAACACGAGCTGTGTGCGGAGGGGCGTTGTCCTGATGAAGCAGCTCCCTCTTGCGGTCAATGATTGGAAGAATGTGAGGTTGAAGAATTTGATTCATGTAGGGATTTGCTGTCAAATCTCCCTGCACCACAACCAAGACAGATCTCCTGCTGTAGGATACGGCCCCCAGCACCATGACAGTACTGCCACCGAAATTGTCGAATTCACGTACACAATGTTGGGCAAAACGCTCATTTCGACGAGGATAAACACGTTCTCTTCTATCTCGCCTAGTTTGTGACTCATTTCGATTTCAACTCGTTATTAGGAAAACATAAAACTTCAAATATGAGAATGTGTAAAAACGTTCGGCCAAACTCAAGTCAATAAAAGGGAAACTGTGTCAAGCCTACCCATCAAAATGTGTTGCAATTCCATGGGTCACAATGGCGGTTACCGGCCTAATGTGTCAGCTAAGTCACATATACACGACCAGTGAAGCTGCTTTTATGTGGTCTGCTTTCATTTAGTAGTCGATCAGACGTAAACAACACCGAACCATCTGTATGCTGCACCGGAACATAGTCAGTGGGCGTCCTTCAAGTAGCTAGCAATAAACTGCATTCGTTTATAAAAAGGCTTCCTGCTCATCGAACTATACCGGTTGTCATGACTACTATACACGGGCTGATACACGGACTGACACGAAGATACCCGTGAAGATCCGGGGTAGAATAGGTCTTCAGCAACCCATGCTTGCCGTAAAAGGCAACTAACGGGATCGGGTGGTCAGGCTCGATAACTTGGTTGATGCATGTCATCGATACCAATTGCGTGGATCGATGCTCATGATATTAATCACTGGATCGTCTGGTCCAGACTCGATTATTTACAGACCGCCGTCATATAGCTGGAATATTGCTGAGTGCGGCGTTAAACAACAAACCAACCAACCAACTGACACGAAGAAGACCCTGCGAAAGACGGAAGGTGAACGAAATGAAATCTCTTCGTCCGGAAAATGAACCTGTAAACGAAAAAAAAAAACTGTGGTAGAAAGTGAATGTTTACTTACCTCTGGTGTCCGTAACTCTCGGCTGACGATCCACGATAAGGCTGAATGGAGCATTACATATATCCTCCATGCGTAAGTGAACGTGGCACGTCTTCTTTGTGTGCGCATGATGTTTTGTATAATGCAGCATGCTGCATGTCAACAATGCGTACACAAAATTTGAATTGTTATATCCCTATCAGCCTCCATTATACATTGTCATTAGGAGGACGGAGAGTTAAATATTTCAATGCAAATACAATTATGTTAAATTAATGTTCAACTACACTGGGGTGCAAGTCATCTTCCAGTTACGAATACGCGAACCAGTCGCGGTTTGAAGGATATACAGAAAACACGAAATTAAAGTTTATATCCATTGAAGGCGATTCAGACATTCAGTGACAAAGGATGACAACAGGGTGACGGTACGGGCTTGCCGACTCAGGCAGTTACAGGTCGGAACGCAATATTTTAAATGACGGTAATAATTGTTACAAAATTTGTTTCGATCGCTACATGTATTCTCACTGCTTTGTATGGACGATTTTGTTTAAGTAATTTGCACCGTCATGATTGATATGATTATTATAATTAATAGTGTCAAGGTTGTTGTAATATAATGTCTTAGTCAAGTTGTTCATTTTCGAAAAAAGATGTTGTTCAAGTTTTCTGGTGCTTGTATCAAATCTTCTTTAAACTGCGTTCTCCTCTACGTATCGCATCTTACTAATGCAAAAGTGTCTCCGTTTCCTTAATCGTCACATGTCAAAGTGTCATTTATTTAAAGGCCTAAGTATACAGGAATGCGATATAAAAAATCATTGATAAAATTATCACCAATGCTAAACTGTGACAATGTATACTGAACCGCAAAAGAAACGTCACCTAAAAGAATATTGCATAAAAAGTTGTCATTTAAATATCTCGGTCATTTTTGTCAAAGTTTCTAAAATTTAACATTAACTTGTCCGGAAAAATGAAATTTGATGATACAAAAACAAAGTAGATGACTATAAAACCGATCGCCCAAACGCATCACGGCAACGGCCATGGTAACCCGATACACTTGAGGTCCGTGCAAATTGAAATGCACATGCGTTCCCCCATTTCTTGTCTTATAACAATCCACCCAGATAAGAAAACATTCCTTCGTCATTTAATTGCTACCGCATGCCAAGATTAACAGGAAATTAGCGACACCAAGACCATGGACGAATGCAAGCTGGAGAAACCGCCCTGCAAGTAGGCGATGCATTTCAAGTCCACTTAAGGACCATATACAGGCTCTAGCAACGGTACCAGAACACCAACACTACAGATGACGACCACGTAGTGGAAGACCAAGGGTCACCACCCGACGTCAGAATCGTCAGATTGTTCAAGACCGCTTTGTTACAGCTGCGGAAACTGCTCGACAGACCATGACGTCCTACCAAGGGCAACAACTGCACCTGAACTGCGTCAGTCTTTCCTCAGTGTGTGGGCTCAAGTGCCTATGGCCTTCATCAACCACTTCATCCATTCCATGTATCGACGTTGCACGGCAGTCATCAATGCACATGGCAAACACACGAGATACTGACTAGTGTTGTGTTTCACTTTAAGAACTTTTGACACTTTAATTTCAACCTTGATGATCAGTTTTGCCAAGTTTCATCTTTTTAATATTTCTCAAAGTATGTTTATAGTGTTTGGACAAATAAGGTTTCTCATATATCTATCCATGGTGACGTTTCTTTTGCGGTTCAGTATATTACAATATTCATGCTTTAATAAACAGGAGCCAACTCAACTGGATCCCAACTTTTGATGACAAGTATATTCGCCTATCCCCGGATCATCATCACACCTTGCATTCACAATACGGAAACATGTAGGCATGCACAGAATAATCAAACATCGTCCGTCTCTCGAAGCATGTGCAAGTTGTGAATCGGGGATTTAATTTGCGTCATCATCATAGTTGTTGTCTCACATTCATTCTGCAGTTTATATCATCGCCATATTAAGAAAACTCATTGACATATGCTTCTATTTTTGAGAATATATCAGCTTCTATGCTCTTACATGTGATCCCAACAATAGGAAAGTATCCAGCACTGTAAACATGTATCGATAGCTGTAGATCTGTTTTGTCTGTTTTATTGGTTTTATTCATTTCCTTATTCGTCTTCAGAAGTAAACCATCACTTGCAGGTTTGGCTCTTTTGTGTAGATTTGGACGTGTTTTGAATACATCTACACTACGTTTACTTGTTTTTATCGACTCTGCATTTTCCTCATCAGTGTGTTTATGTCAGCTACCGTATTTCCCTCAGGAAGTTCTAAATTGACTAATATTCATTTTCTGATCAATGTGGTCGAAACGTCACCTAATATCTCGTATCCAAGGAGGAGGAGGTTCGTGCCCAGCGTTCTATTGGTTCAGACGGAAGGGGCAGGTTCGCATGTATAGTCAGAGGAAACTGTCATGGCTTCCATCTGCCTGCCGTGTTCACTTGATATTGACATGGAAAGAAGACAGGGTTTTCCGAACTCTGGGGATTTTGTGCCTTAGAAAAGTCCAAATTGTCCACAAAGTGACCTCACTGCATTTGGTAACTTCTTGTTAACAATTTAGATGATAAACGTCGTTAAAGCTCATTTTCTCTCTCATTTGACGAGCGCAAGACCAACGTTCGACCGTCCACCACCATGCTGTTTACAGGAGCACGCCACAACCACCACTTGTCAATATAACTGACTACAAGAGAAGGACAGTCTCTTCAGAGTATCAATTGTATCAGTGGATTTCTTACAATACACTTTTTTATTCCTGATAGGGATATTTTATTTTTCCATGATACACAATACTGAATCTCATGATATGTCAAGTGTATATTTACAGAGAATGTCATATCTGAATATCCCTATCAAAAATTGAGTAATATATATGAATAATTAAATTTTCGTTGTGTTCATGGAAATTCCTGCATTCTGATTAGCTGAATTGGTCACGTGTTATTGCATTCATTCCCAATGAATGTAAAAAATTAAGCTACGCCCACCGCGGCGCACTACTTTTATTACTGCGGAATGTCGGGGAATCCCAATATTACAGTCGAGGGAATTCCCTTTCTGCTCAGGACATTTAGCGACTTTCATGCCTATTCATTGTCCAAACTACCCTTTGAAACCAAATGAATGAAACAGCAAACGTGCAGGCTCGCTCGCCTGTTTTTTTCCCGCTCGCCTCGGTTCAACTTTCATGTCTTCGGGTTTCATTTCTAACTAGCTATTCTCTAACTGTGTTTTACCGTAATCTGGGAAGTAATGTTTGAATCACGCAGTAAATGACCATGTTATTTGAAACAGCCGCCTTCTCTCGGACATATTTCTTCCGGTTCGTTACTAATACTAAATACTAATATTAATACTAATACTAATGCTAATACTAACTACACTATGTATTATATACACTATATACTATATACTAACACTGACACAAATAACTAATGCTAATATTAATACTAATACTAACTTCACTATGTATTATATACACTATATACTACTGGTTAGTTGACAGTTAAACAAAACCTGTAACTGCCACATATGTATTCGCAATTCTTATATAAATAAACCATTTAATATTCTGTGATTGTGAAATTTACAAACTAAACGCTTTAACAACAAACAAACAAAACAAAATCCACTTGACTATCGTCGAGTTGAATGCAAATATTACAACGGATGTTCAGCATCCCTCGTATCAGTATTGAGTCTGTTAGAACGTGTCGAGTCCTGTGCATCCAGTCCAGTCCCGAGAAGACAAGGGTTAGAAGTGGTCTTCGGCAACTCATGTTTGTAAGAGACGACTAACGGGATCTGGTGGCCAGGCTCGCTGACTTGACTCGCATATGCCAGTTGCGTAGACCGCTGCCTATCATGTCAATCACTGGATTGTCTGGTCCAGACTCGATTCTTTACAATCCGCCGCCATATATCTGGAATATTTGTGAGTGCGACTAAAACATCGTTTCATAATGCAGACTTCCCACGTCTTTCACTCGTTCACATCTTTCTGAGCATTTTAGTTCAAAACTTATGAAGTTTAAAATTATAAAAAATAGTACATAAATAGTGAACTTGAAAGCATGAACATTGGAATAAATGATGAGTGGGTTATTTATAACCATGAAATTATATGATGGGATACACTTGCAGTTATCTAGTATAATCAGGAAAATAAATATAGGTTCAACCTAAACAAAGCTCCCAGAAGATGAGGTTTGAATAGAAATCGTGATCGGAGCAGGTGCTGTTTCACTGAATTTAATTAAATATTCTGCACAGGGTTTCTGTGCCAGTCAAATGCTTTGATGTTGCTACGATGGTTGTTCAGGTTTCAAAATCGTTTGGAGATATCTAATATACTGTAACTACAGAAATATCAAAGGATTCTCCAGGGTTATAATTTATCTTCAGTGCGATCCTCAGTAAGACTGTCCACTGTGGTTGTATCGTCAACAGGAGGTAGAGCCCAGGGTTGTGGGGTGGTCGTAGAAAACAGGAAGACAATGGTTGACATGAGCAGCAAAGCCGCTGCTACGTAGAATGCAGACTGCCACTCACTCTGGGAACCCTGGGGAAACATGGGGAAATAACGACACTTTGTCATTGTTAAAACGTTCTGTAAAGATGTGTTATTATATACACAACAAAACCCTATCCATAATCATAAGCCATCTCTACTAAAAACATAGTTCAAAATACGATTCCGACTATATCATATGCATGTTGATGAATCCCTATCAAACAGTGATGATACCAGGTGTTTGCGATAGGTGAGCGCATCCTGTCCCACCCGTCCGTCACAAACACATGCAAAATAAAGTCAAGTGTACACCTGAAAAACCCAGGGAAACATATGGTAGGGGTTAAAATACAATTGGAAATGCCCTCCACCGGTCTACCATAGAACTTTCGAAAACTTTACTAAGGAGATGAGTGTTGTAACTTTGATCAAACAGCATTTTAGCAGGAGATTTATGACGCTCTTAGAAATCTTTTCAGAGAGAGCGTGCTCGATAGAATCTCAGAAGTTGTGAAATGTAGACACCAAAGGCTGGTTACAGTGTTTCTGGTCCAGTTATATAGAAAGTATCATATTAATAATCATAGCCTGGTCCGAAACATCAGTTGTGAATATGATGTGTGTTCACAACTTGCCCTAACCTATCATGTTCAAATTTGGGTTGACAGACGTTGAGCACAGAGGCATTCTTCATATACCATAATTCACAAAAGGTTTCAACGTTATTAGCCTCATCTTATCAGAAATGTATAGACGGCTAATGCCCTGACATAGGCTCACACGAACAGTGTGCTCAGATTAGCTAACACCGTCCCCTAATGCAATGGTATCTATACTCACTGTAGGAGTCAGTAGTGACACAACATAGGGCGCCACTATCCCTGGTATACTGGCAATGGTGTTAGACACGGCGAAGAGAATTGCAGAATGGGCAAGGGCGATCTCTACAAAGGTCACCAAAAACCCTCCAGAGAAGGAAAGTCCACTCAATGCCCCTGCTACACAGAGCAATACGACTGCGGGTATCTGACTTCTACAGTCGAGCTTTGCCAGTGTGATCATCAGGACTGCCGGTACAGCGCAAGCTGAAGAAACAATGGTCCATGTGAGTGAAGTTGTGTGTCTCCAGAATCTTTCATGTAATAAGGTATGTTATCGTCACATGTTTTGTCCTGATGTTCGCAGTCACTTCAAATATACCTGTATCATGATAATAAAAATAATATTGGGACGCAACGTTCAATTAATTTTCAAAGATAAATTTCAAAGACAACATTAACATTTGCAAGCACTACTACCTACGTGTTTTTTAATCTTATGTTTGATGGTGGCTAAAAATGAAATATACGAGAAGTGGTTATCATAGTTACGATATGGCCTTTACGTTTGCAGTGTTAAGGCGACTGTTTTCATCCTGGTAACGTTTTTGATAACGTTTGAAATGTTTTGATCTATTCCAATTTCCATGTGTTCATTTTCTTTTGCCCGGCAGTTTATGAGATCAATTGTGACAATAATGCCTCTTAAACACCATGCTAACGTTAACACAGATTAAACACAACAAGAAACGAGAACTAGAGCAATTAGTACCTAGAGAGTTCATGAGCTTCCTTGTGTTGTCACGTGAGAGATATTTCTTCTTTATAAGTGCATCCGCCAGCCAGCCAGCCAGAAATACAAAGAGACCACTACAAAGGTAGGGCAACATAACAAGTACACCACTCTGAAATGAAAAAGAGCAATAAAGATACTATCGATAAAAAAAAAGGTGTATACGATGTAGATGTACTTTCGACATAACAATTCAAAATCGCCATACTTGTCCTGAAAAAAAGTGCCTTATTCTTCTCACAAGCATCTAAATTCAAAACGTCAACGCCCGAGAATAGACAGTCTATAATATGATATTATCAGCCGATACAGATTCCACTGGGAGCATAAGGCAAAATAATGATGATAGTTATATGAAGTGATCATTGAAAATCAGTGTTCGCAAAAATCGGGTAAACATGTCTTACATTACTCGTAACATGCAGCATGTTTAACCAAATTCCTGAATGTTTTAATCGTCTTAATGATATAACGTATATGTAACGAATAAATGAATAGCGTTTACATTCTTTGGAAAAAGGGGTAGTTAGATCATATCCTGATTAAAATCTGTAATAGGCAAGTTCAGTCTTACCGATTGAATGTCGATATGCATGACTTCATTGAGGTAAGTTGGAAGTTGAAGCTGTAGCATGTAGTAGGCGTAGTTGTACAATGTGTGGGTGCAGATTAACGTCCACGTCGCCCTCGACCTCAGCATATCACCCCATGGTATCTTCTACAGAGAACACCGAAGTTTCGTGTGCACATTTGTATAAATAAAGTACGAGTAATAGAATATATCATGTTAACAATGTAACTAACTTCCAGTACTAATTGAAATTACATTTTGATTTTATCTGTTGAGATAAAAGCTTTTATATAGGCCAATGAAGTTTACACTATAGCCATAATTATTGTGACTTTGGTTTTTCACACATTGTGACCGGTACCAAAAATGATCTCAGCGTTCAGGTCATCATGAGCCCATAAAAACTTCCTGATTTTAAATTTTAGATACGATCGACACCAAGTCGTGCATAAACCAGTCTTTACCAAGATAGTCAATATAATAACCAACTTCGAATCGATACAATTGACAATATATCATACAACAATAGCGTTTTTATAATGCGGTGTGAGGAGGCGGAGACGGTGTTGTGAGACAGAACGCCAACACTTTTCATGACGAGGAAAGGGCGGTGTGGGAGTCTAATGGTTAAGAGTTCGCTCGTCACACCGAAGACCCGGGTTCGATTCCCCACATGGGTACAAAGTGTGAAGCCCAGTTCTGGTGTCACCAGCCCTGATGTTGCTGGAATATTTCTAAATCGTTTGCTAAAACCATTGTCCACATGTCGGGAATCGAAGCCGGGTCTTCGCCGTGACCGGACCCGATCAAGTGGATTCTTAAGATGAAGTGGAAATGCTTTGCAATTGTTTCTGACGAAGCGAGGCATGAGAATAGCAACACTAGCAGCTGGACAACATATACTAATAGGGAGGGAGTCCGTTGTGTTTAACAGTACTATTCCAGTTATATCACGCAGTGTCAGCTTGATGTGGGGGGAAACCCCGAAGTTATGCAGGTCTCAGACGTTTACCACTTAGGTGAAACCCAAGATCACGGGTTTGATGCTAAGAAACCTAGAAACATAACCAGGGCGGACAGTGATTCTAACACACAGTCATAGGTTTTTGCTACTCTCCACAGTAAAATGGCAGCGCCTTAGACAACTGGGCCACCAATGCCCCATCATCTAAGGTGAGGTGAAATGTAGTTTAGCGTCACGTCCAAGATTATTGCACACATTGCGACGTGTGACGTCTTTTTGGTAAGCAGGAACATTAACATATGTTTTCAGGTCCACTGAAATTATACTTCGTTGTAAATCACTCCCTTTATATTTCTATCAATACACACGCAATAGCAAATCATAGCAAAGTCGGTACTGCATATGACAAGATGAAGTCGTGCTTGGCTTTCAAATGACTAGTTTTTTAATTTAATTGTATTTGTCCTACCTTTTCTTCCCGTATCCGTGATTTGGTATTTTGTTCTATGTAGGTTTTTTCCTCCTCTGAAATCCATGGTTGATCGCATGGTTTATCACGTGATAGAATCATCCATGATAAAGACCATGCTACCCCGAGACCACCTGTATTTGATGAAACATGTGACTGTATGTACCCATACAATCAAAGCAATAACCTTGGTCTGATACGACATGTGACATCACTGCGGTGTGTATATACACTGTGTACATATTGTGTAAATTATAAAGCGTTCTTGTGAAAAGTTAAAAGGTTTCCCCGAAAAATAACAAAAATATTATAATACTGTATGCTTACAAAGGTGAGGTGAAATGGGGTTTAACGTTACATTCAAGATTATTGCACTTATATAGCATGCATGTATGTGTATGTGTGTTTGGCTGCTTGTAATAGTCCTGACTTATGCCGATTTATAGTGCTAGCCCTCTGAAATACCATGCAGCAGTTTAACATGTATACCCCACTCAGCGAAGTATACTGATTCTGAGGCGACCAGCCCTTGTTTTAACCCCTCAATGCCGAGCGCCAGACAGGGTAACAACAAGTACCAACTTTTAACGTCTTTTGGTATGACGCGGCCGGGGATCGACCCCCGAACCTTCCACTCTCCGGGCGGACGCCCTATCCCCAGACCGCGGAGGCGGTCTTATGGTTGCAAAGGTATGTATAGGCGTAAGTGTTACTATCAGCTTCATAACCGATGTGTATGATACTGGAGTCTTTGTTTGTATGCGACATGAACTTTATCGAGGTTAAAGGAGCTGAATAATGTTATTCAAAGAATCAGAATTATTATTCACTGATACGCACCTGTAACATAAAACACTGAAGCCCATCCACCGTCAATGCCAGATCTGCACAGGAACCCGGACAGTGGAAAGACTAAAGCATTTCCAACTTCACTACCTAGCACACATAAGTGTAAATCAATAAACCACAAAAGGGTAATACAAAATATTCGCCTGATTTAAAGCGTATTAAATGAAATAACATATGTGTGAGTGTTTTGAGGACAGAAAGATTCAGTACAATTTGCCCCAAAAGAAAGCTAATGTCATCTGAGGTTTAGTGAGAAAACAAAATATGAAATGCTTGACTTCCTCATTGAAAATGCACATGTGAAATTAGGGGATAAGACATTTTGGCAATAAGAAGACATCCCAATGGACATCAGTTGCACTCCCCTCCTGGCAGATCTGTTTCTTGATGCAGATAAATTGGAATTTCAGCTTGGAATGTCATAGTCAAAACAAGTCAATTTTGCCATGAAGTTGCAGTTATGTCTCATAAGTATGGAAACAGTTTTTTGTCGCATTCTTTTACCACTTCTATGTCTAATAATTTCTGTTCTACAACTAACTTGGCACCAACATTGACACTTTCTACATCCCTGCCTAACTAAAACAACAGTGTGAAAAACACAAGGTTCTGGATTAACTTCAAGAATGTGATCCTTGCTGCAGCAATATGACCACACTTGTAGACGTAGATGACGTATTCAACACCCTTTTATGTGCACGACTCTTTCAAAGACCAAAATACACTGTCACGAAAAATACCAACGCATTTTTATTTGCCTGGGGAATTGTCATCTGCAAATTTAGGAGAAAGAAGCAATGAAAGTAATATTTGAAAGCGGTTGGTTTTCACTTTTTCTTAGCAAAGACGATTAAAGCGTGTGACAGAACAGGAGATGGTTTGTCTACTGGAATATACTTAATGTTTTCTGTTTTCATTGTTACATTCAAGGTATGTTTGAAATAAGCAAATGTAGTAGACAGTTTTTGTGATGATGTGATGAATGTAATTTGCCCAGTTTCCACAGCTCGGGAACCTGAGTGCAAGCCAATAACAAGTGATTCGAACTTCATAATCTACTCCACTTATTTTCCAAAATCTATCACTGCAGTGACATTACCAACTCCACGATCGTCATTTGGTATCACCGATGCTTATTTGCAATGCAGCCTTAGTTTTGTTTACAGAAACACTTACACATCTGCATACCCTTATGAAAACTGTATTGTAACTTTAAACAATATATAGTTTATTAATCACGCATGCCTCTTTTGGTAGGTTATCTTTATATTTACTTGTTCATCGGATGGTGAGAACAAGTTTATTGGGTCAGGTTTTGCACCGTCCATACCATCCTTCATACGATAAATGCAGGATACCAGCATAGAAGGAGGATTTAAACATCAATGGAATAGAGTGATGAGGCCTGTGTTTACCTGTAAATGCGATACTTTGTAAAGTCGAGATTTCCGATTTGGGTGCCCACTGTACCCAGAAAGCGGGAAGCGATGTGAACAACACTGACTTAGAAACAGAACAAAACACGACTGTTAGAAACTGCTCCCATCAAGGGTAATGATTCATTCACGTGGTTGATATGTTTGGCAACGTCTCAATCAAGAAGGTGAACGGGTAAGAAAAGATCATATTAAGTCGCTCCAACGACAAGCAACAAAGTGCTAGCCCACGGGTCTACATTAATCCAATGCGGTGGGTATGTAATCTGGAAACAGTTAGGGTACAACACAAAGGCAGGTAAGGCAAAAGGTTTATACTAAGAAATATTTAGAGACTACATGTATGTACTTACATTGTTTCCTTCTTAAAAGATGGATTAATTCTATGTATGGTTCTAAAACATCAAGTAGATACGATATATACATACGTGGTGCTAGCCCTAAATAGAGGTTTTGATGTAATGAAATAATACAAAACATAAATAAACATACATTTATTATGACAATTCTCACCGCAAATGCTCCAGTTAGAATCCTAAGACCAACCAGGATGTAGACGTTCTTGCGGGCACCCACGGGTGATAACAACGTTGATGCAGAACACAGAATAAACCCTATACCAATGACTTTTCTGGGACCAAATCGTTCGGCTAGAAACCCACAGGGAATTTGGAGGCATAGGTAACCCCAAAACATTGCACCAAGAACAATTCCTTGAATTTGTTTGCTCCATTCAAACTCTCCCATCTGTAAATACCAAGACGTCCTTTGTATTAATACATGAACACGACGATGTATACCAAATGTGGCAATTAATAATGATAATAATAAGAAGAAGAAGCAGAAGATGAAGAAGAAGGAGTAGAGGAAAAAGAAAAACAGTTTTACAGGCACTTAAAAACAACCAATGGCAGTCATGAGAAAAGACCTACCATGGATTCCAGTGAGAGGTTTTGGAAACAGGTGTGGTTTCTACCCGGCAACTGCAACCTCGCATGGGTAGGGGATTACAATAATAATGTATATGACAAAGTAATGTCAACATTGTTGTTTTTCATTATACCCAGTTACCTGAAAAAGGTGATTAAAAGTCCAAATCCAATACGGCACCAGGGCCTGTTGGTATTCGAAACCGGCTTTGGCAACTGTTTCCTATGTTCAAAAACCATGACTTCACTGTATAAATTCTCTTGTGGATACAGGGGATGTGAAGCATCAATACTCATGATAAAACAAGGCATTCCTCATGGAGAGGCTATCTGAGCGACCACTGCATCGAGTTTATGTGCAGTGTGTTGAGAAGATCAGCAACCCTGCAGAGTCCTTCGCTTGGATGAAGTCGGCTGGCCTGAAAAGTGCTCAAGACCAGTCACTTCCCACTCGAAACCGTCAGTGTGTGATTTTGCATCAAAATGTAAATGTTACATGTAGAATATGCAATAACTTTAACGAGACTGTCCAACACATTGTCAGTGGATGCCCATCATTGACACAAACACCGTATCTTAAGCGACAAGATAAAGGGTCTCGACCGCTTATGGTTTTGACACAGAGGCTCAGGAAAAACATGACAAATATGCGGGCCTCGCTTTCGAAATGTCACGCTTGCATCCCTAGAACCAAGTTGTCCGACACCCCATTTTTCTTGGTGCCTGAGGTTTTGTAACTCCATATCTGATGACTGACATTGGGAGACAATGACAGCCCTTCTGACAATCTGGAAAATGCAGAAGGCTGTAGTGTTAGGGAGTCTTCACATTCTTCACCGAAAAGTTCTGGGTGGGTTTGACTAGGCAGCGCTTCCTGGGAGAAGTCCCATTCCCTTTCTGGGCTTCGTGTAGAGGGGACAAGGGCCTTGGGCTGATGATGAGCCTAACTAGCCTGACTGTGCCAGGATCATCCAAACCCTCTTTGCTGCATTGTATTTTTTAATCTGTACATAATAATAATTTTCATTATTCCGGGAACTATGACATGCTAAAACAATCCCTGAAAATAGTATATAGATGTTGCAGATAAGTTACTATAAGACAACTTACCTCGTACTCATCATCATCATTGGTAATCCAATTAAGAAATTGCCCAGCATGGCAATAACTGTCTGCTGTTCCGGATTCATAGCTGTTGTTTACATGACCATGATTTGTAGACACGTTAGGTAATGTTTTCAATGATAACCCACCTTCAAGATCCTGATCATAGGTCATGTTCCTGCGGGGATGACGAATCATACACACTATAGTTATGCCGAGACTCGATCGGAAACAGCTCCCTAGAAACATGCCAACCGAGAGAAGCATGGCAAGACAGTAGCGCCATTTTCCCTGTGGATGATCTGAAAGAGTGAATTCATTTGCGCTTTAAATCTGCTCCTATGACTTGGTCCTGTGCGGACCAGCTGGCCTTTTGTTAATACCAATCTCAAGTGACGCTGAATCTAATGGAGGCTAAACTTTCTTACATGGTTTTCCAAATAAAGGGCCCGGCATAGCCTACCGTAAGGTTCTACTAAACGTTTACAGCCAGATATGTACAATTAGTAAGATGGCAAAAATGACCACAAATACATGAGAAATATCTACACTGTACTAGATAACCCCGCTACTCCTTGAAAATCAAAGTTACTAACACACTTTCAACACGTGAATATGCTTGCACACACGTATGAGATAACATTTATCAAATCAACATGTGATAAAAGCATAAGATTAAAATGCTAGAGAATGAAATGTACAGACAACAAATTTTCCAGCGATAGTCTAACAAACACAAAGTAAACAAAATGAAGCCGATCGGCCATCGGAATGACAGTGATGAGTAGATTGGTGTAACCTTTAAGTATGTGTATAGTGCTGAGGTAGGATACCAATTTTATGAAAAGAAAATAACAACCAATCAGGGATTCGCCAGCTTCTGGAATAACTAATATTGTTCCTTTTTTTAACGTGTTGCACCCGACTCGCCTAAAATCCGACTCGAGTCGAATTTAGGCGAGTCGGGTCAAAATCTTTTTAGGCGAGTCGGATTTTAGGCGATTCGGGTGTATCCCTTCGTAGCTACCTAAGCCTGCCAAACCCATGATTTTAAGACAATAAATGTATAATTAAATACCCATTAATGTACAATGCATACCATCGTTCCACTGGTGTCTGCAGTGTTTGAGGCTCCGAATATCTGTCCAGTTGATAATATAATAATATCAAATTTGCATATGGTAAAACGATGACTTGACACATTTGTCAGAAATTTTAAACATTACAGTAAACGTACCTTTGTGTCTTTTCAGACTTCGTTCCACTTCCATCTTTATTTCTTCACAAATAGTTGTGTCGGTATTGTTCAGTTATTGAAATGCAGGATTAACCCTATAGCCCTGCGTTGTCCTATGTGATGTGACCAATGCTGCAAGAGAAATTCGGGAAGGTTCGTTCAGTTGTTATTGTAGGATCTATAGTGAGTGAGTGAGTATGGTTTTACGCCGCTTTTAGCAATATTCCAGCAATATCACGGCGGGGGCACCAGAAATGGGCTTCACACATTGTACCCATATCGGGAATCGAACCCGGGTCTTCGGCGTGACTAGCGAACGTTTTAACCACTAGACTACCCGATCGCCCCTTAGGATCTATAGGATGGACCTGCCTGCCAGTGATGTTTATTTGCAGCTGTATGGAAGCCTCGTTAACATCATGAAGGTTTTTGTTTTCATGGTTAATTCCCTTATGTGACATGAACATATCCACATGATTTTCGAAATGTCACACTTCTAGTTATGGCTAATCAGTACATCGGATACAGCATATACGTCTTTCTGGTCGTGGATAACCGTTTAATTGAGCTTTTTCCCCAGTTAATATTGATATACCACACACTCGGCGCGGTACTGACTTAGCATAACACAACTGCCACGGATTAATATGCATATTACCTGACCGGAATTTTCTCTTGTTTGTGAGTCAACGCGCCTATTCTGAAATTGGAACAGAACTGGCCTATTGCAAGCCTTTCGGGGCGACACGTGCGTCTCATGTAATACGTTTGATTGTTGTTAAACCCAGTGGACGCCAATCAGCCATAATACTGTAACAGTTGTTTATATTACTGGCTTCATTCTTTGTTTATGTCAGTCTTCTCCACTCCAGTATAACTACATCTGATATCTACTCTACTGTACAAACATTGCCTCCTACCTGTAGGGGGCACGGGTGGCCCAGTCGTCTAAGGCGCCGCGATTCGCTGTGCAGAGTTGCGTCCCTTGGGTACGCCGGAAACCTATGATTGTGGGTTCGAATCCCGGATCGCCCCGATTATGTTTCTAGGTTTGTCAGCACCATACCCGTGCTCGTGGGTTTCACCGAAGTGGTAAACGTCTAAGACATGCATCACTTCGGGCTTTCCTCCCACATTAAGCTGACACGCCGCGATATAACTGGAATACTGTTACAAAAGCGGTGGTAAACCCAACTCACTCACTCACCTACCTGTATATATACTTGTCAACCATACTCTGTATTTCACTTTCTTGATAACGGTGTTAGAACCTAGACAGAAACGTCGCTCTTAATTGTTATTCATCCATAAAGTAGTTCATCCATAAATTCTTATCCTTACTCAAACTTCTAAATGCCTATCGAAGAAGTAATCCAGTGATTGACATCATGAGCATCGATCTACGCAATTGGGATACGATTATACGCACCGAGTCATGAGTCAACGAACCTAAACACTCGCCGCCAACGACAAGCATGGATTGCAATTCTAACATGGAATAAATTTGGATTTCAACATCCATGATCTATCTTATCCACTCATAAATGCATTAGCAATAGTGAACAACGAAGACGTGTTTGTCAGGAGCGATGAGTGCACATTACCTTCAATGAATACTACCATTGTCAGCATTATTACCACGTATGTAACTCATATGAGAGTAAGGCACGTTCGATATGTACTCATCTCATGCCCGGCACTGCTTTCAATCAGATTAACCACTACGGGGACAGAATATTGAATACTATAATTATGTTTTCTCATCAATTTATTCATGAGCGGATGTCGATAGGTTTTTCCACCCAAATACAATTTACGCAATATGTATGTCACAGATGTACGAAAACCACACAGATGGTTGTTCATCATAACTCAATACTGTTGCACGAGAAAAGTTTCTAAACAAAAACGTCATTATTCGACCAAAAACAGGTTAAAAGATGAAATGACCCGTGAAGATCCGGGATAGAATGGGTCTTCAGCAAACCATGCTTGTCATAAAAGGCGTCTGTGTTTTTTTCGGAAAAGGCGACTACGTTTTTTTCGGAGGAGGCGACTAACGGGATCGGATTGTCAGGCTCGATGACTTGGTTGATGCATGTCATCGTATCCCATTTGAGTGGATCGATGCTTTTGATGTTAATCTCTGGATTGTCTGGTCCAGATTCGATTTTTTTACAGACCGCTGACGTGTAGCAGTAATATTGCGGAGTGGGGCGTTAAACTACAAACAAACAAACGAAAAACAAATAAAAGATGAAGTATGATCTTTGAGTTACCTGATCCTAGTGGTAGAAAAGACGCAGTAACGGATACTCGTATTTGTTTCGTGTTGATGTGTGAAATAGTTTGCCTATGGCATTACGAGTTGGACGCCTGTTCATTGTCGATTCACTAAACACGTATAAAAAGTTATTCGATGACCTAGATTTCTAGCTATACATTGATACGTATACGCTACCTTTGTCACTGCGTGACCTGGGAATTCAACACCAGTGTAACACCATAAAGCACGAATAGGTCCAAAGTAAATATTCCAACTGAGATGCACATAGTTGGAGCTCCACACAGTCTGCTGACGTGCACATGGAAACTGTGTCTACTATTCGGTAAGAAGCGGAATGTGCTGCAAGTCTGCAAGTCACGATGGCGGTAAGTTGCCTTTGTGTGTCAACTTAGTCACACATGAAGGTGCACTGACGCTGTGTGAAACCGCGCGGTGTTTGGTGGATTGGCAGTCAATCAACACGCTGCGCCGAACCTGTACTTTCTACGCTAGAACATTATAAGCAGGGGGCCTTCGTGAGGAATAAATATGTATTGGGACGGTTAATTAGATAAACCCTTGTTGCAGCTGGGGCTTGAAGCGAGATATCAGATCACGTCACGGCGGCCTGTAAACAATCAAATCCTGGTCAGGGAAACGAGTAAGTGAAAATATGCGCTACATGTACTTTCAACGACTTGGGATTACAATGACATGCAACCTTCTCACATGGCCGACCCAGTTCTGTCGTCACTGACGGCCAGCGCTTGGCTACCAGGGGCCTGTGCTGACCTAAAGGGTGAAGAATCTGATAAATAAGTAGGCAGTCACAAAGAACAAACGATTAGATCGCATAAAAGACCTCAAACCGTTACCATGCTTCTTGCCATACATGCCCCATTTTCTACACTAAATGAAAACAGCACATTTGATCAACGTGTGGTAAATACACGGCCGTGGACAATATATGCTTAATTCAACTAAATGTGTATCGTCATTACCACCGAGTACCACCAACATGCACTTTATACACTCTTCAAAAAAAGAAACGCACAGGTAGTATGTAGTTCATTGAATCTGACGTCACAAAAAATCTGGTATATACATTGGGTATATGCACTTTTCGTACTACAAGAAACCAAAAAAACTTTCAACTGTGTCCATAACTTCCGTCAACTGGCAACGTACTAAATCGACAAAGAGGGGAGAATACAGACAAATACCACAAAAACATAAATCTTTAAAGGACATAATAATCTTCATCTATGACCGTTTTGCCTTCAATCCATGCACCATCCATATCGTCCCCATGAGCCAAGAACAATTGTAATCCTTGATTAATGGATTATTGATTGATGACTTCCATGCAGCAGTAAGTCAGTGTGTTTTTTCCAAATAAAACAAAACATAAACACTTAAGAAATAATGTGTACACCATCAAATCTCCATATGTGACGCATCAGTGACAAAACTTATATCCGATGCCCTATTTTCACTTGAAATACACATACCATGTTCTTGTCATGTGGCCAATTGATTGTCTTCTTTGTATTTGTGACGGATGCCACCGGTAGGGCAGGATATGCTCACCCTTTCGCGAACCAGTGTTATCATCACTATTTAAAAGTAAATACAATCGACTCTGCTTCTTAATAGCGGAGGGCAAGGGTGGCCTAGTGGTTAAAGCGTTCGCTTGTCACGCCGGGTTCGATTCCCGACATTGGTAGAATGTGTGAAGCCCATTTCTGGTGTCCCCCGTCGTGATATTGCTGGAATATTGCTAAAAGCGGCGTAAAACCATACTCACTCACTCACTTAATAGCGGAGGGCAAGGGTGGCACAGTTGTCTGAGGCGCCGCGATTCGCTGTGCAGAGTTGCATCCCTTGGGTACGCCAGAAACCTAAGATTGTGGGTTCGAATCCCGGTTCGCCCCGATTATGTTTCTAGGTTTGTCAGCACCATACCCGTGGTCGTGGGTTTCAGCGAAGTGGTAATCGTCTGAGACCTGCATCACTTCGGGCTTTCCTCCAACATTAATCTGACACGCCGTGATAGCGATATTGTATGAGTATGGGACCGCCTCCGTAGTCTAGTGGTAGAGCGTCCGATCGGAGAGCGGAAGGTCCGTGGTTTGACCATACCCAAAAGACGTTGAAAGATGGTACTTGTTGTTACCCTGTCTGTCGCTCGGCATTAAGGGGCTAAAACAAGGACTGGTCGGCTCGGAGTCAGTATACTGTGTCTAAGAGGGGTATTCATGTTAAACTGCGGCATTGTATCTCAGTGGGTTAGCGCTATAAATTGCGGACTAGTACAAGCAGCTACACAATCACGCGTGCATGCACGTCGCTATATAAGTGCAATAATCTTGGACGCGACGTTAAACCCCATTTCACCTAATCTATGAGTATGGAAAGGGTTGTGTAGTTTAAGGCTAAATTTCTTATGCTGGACCCGTCCGATACCAGTGTGAAACAATATGCACATACTGGCCATATTGATATTCTAATCAAGATATTCCACGTTCACATGGAAACTGTTGTCGCCATCTAACCACTCTTCTGCAAGCATTGACATGTATTGCATATCCATGTGTCATTATTGTTGTTAACCAGTTGAACTTGTTAGTCACACTTTAAGGATCAGAGACGCTACTTGTTTGTCACTATGTCACTCGGTGTTTAGTATGATATGGTCTACCGTCAATTGGTTGACCTCTGATTGAAGCACTTACAACCAATTTGACGGCCGCATCAACGCGGAAGCAAATATTCATTGAATGAACTTGTTTCAGTCATTGTTGGTAGGCCTATTTAAATACTTTTATCTACAATTATAGGTTACAAAATGCAAGTTGCTGTTACTACACGTCAATATCCTGCGCTTAATTTAACATTTGAAACCTCACGCTGCGCGTTACGTTCCAAATTCAGTTTAGTGCGCTTAAATGTACAGGTAACCTAGCCCAACAATGAAAATAGGTTTTCCATACAACATATTCAATCAATCAGTGTTTTCGGTAATGAGGACTCAGGCCCACGTACAGATATATACAATTTAGTTTCACATCAAGTGCTGCATGAAATAATATTTACAGGTAAGAAGAACGAAGACAGATAGCAACTTTAACATAATTGGCTAAGTTCTCAAAACGACGTATTTATATTTTTTTTCATTTATTTTAATGCAATGAATGGATGCAGAATATTATCAAATCCCGAAGAACCTAATGTATATGTAATTATTATTTTGAAAATCTCATTAATATGAAAAATGGCAAAACATACCATAAGATGTCAGGTGTGGTGAAATGGGGTTTAACGTCGCGTCCAAGATCATTGCACTTATATAGCGACGTGTATGTGTGTGTGTGTGGCTGCTTGTACTAGTCCGGACTGATGCCGATTTATAGTGCTAGCACACTAAGATACCATGCCGCAGTTTAACATGAATACCCCACCCAGACACAGTATACTGACTCCGAGCCGACCATTCCTTGTTTTAGCCCCTTAATGCCGAGCGCCAGACAGGGTAACAACAAGTACCATCTTTTAACGTCTTTTGGTATGACGCGGCTCGGAATCGAACCCCGGGCCTTCCGCCATACCAAAAGAAGAAAGATACATTGTGAGTGGCGGGTGCTGTCGGTAGAGCAAGTTATGCTTACCCTGGTGTCCTCACTCACTCACTTTCTGATCCATTCACAGTGCATGTTATTGTCATCACTATATAAAGTTTAAAGTACTTATATACCTATATATAGTTAACCATTGTCAATCCCTTTGAAGTGTAGTGACATAAAAGAACACGACAATCTTTGTTCAAACTATTTTGTGCATCATGTCCTGTTCAGCTCGTAATCTGATTCGTAACTGATTTTGAAAAGGAGCTTCCTGCTCATTGAGACAAGTGAAGATCCGGGTCAGCAGCCCATGCTTGTCGTCAAAAGGCGACTATGCTTGTCGTAAGAGGTGACTGACGGGGTCGGGTGGTCAGGCTTGCTGTCTTGGCTGATGCATGATGCATCCAGTTGCGTGGATCGATGCTCATGATGTCAATACCTGTATTCTCTGGTCAAGACCCGATTATTGACAGACAGTTATACAGCAGCTGCTGGTATATGGCTGAGTGCGGCGTTAAACAACAAACAACTAACAAACAAAGAAATAAATCTTGCTCATCGAACTATACCGGTTGTCTTGACTACTGTACACGGACTGACACGAAGAAGACCCTGCGTAATAGGGAAGGTGGAAGAAATGAAATCTGTACCTGTAAACGAAAACAACCTGTGGTAAAAAGGGAATGTTCACTTACCTCTGGTGCACGCGTCCGTAACACTCGGCTGACAATCCACGAAAAGGTTGAATGGAGCATTACATATATACTCCATGCGTAATATTAACAGTAGCGGGTGACCTCGCCTAGATGAACACTGCCAAGCTGACTGTCGTTCATTTGCCGATGAACGTCAGTATGTCACGTGATTACATTGTCAACCGAGCGGAGACATATAGAATTACTCAGGGGAATTCCTCAATGTCTTAAAATAACATTAAAAATCATTAGGGAAAACTGACGACATCGATTCTGGCTGTGAATGATGCAGGCTTGAAATGAAGCGTCCATTCGAAGCTATAACAGAGAATGCTCGACATACCAAAAGAAATCACTGAGCTCCACACTGTCGTGTATTGCTTCTGGAAATCCAACCGCGCCGCCTCAAGCGGTAATTCCCGTCATCAGCAGCCGTAGTATGACTCAAAACACACACCCAATGTTCACAGGACGTTAATATCAATCCATTTTCAGCATCAGCCGGGTCTGGATTTCTTTCCAACGCCAACTTTTCTGGGTGCTAATTCCAAGTGAATGACATTGCCGTAGCCGCCATTTTCTGCCGTTTGTAAAGCCAAGGGATGTCACTCCACATGGAATGTTTGGGACTCACTCACTCACCTACCTGTATATATACTTGTCAACCATACTCTGTATTTCACTTTCTTGATAACGGTGTTAGAGCCTAGACAGAAACGTCGCTCTTAATTGTAATTCATCCATAAAGAAGTTCATCCATAAATTCTTATCCTTACTCCAAATTCTAAATGCCTATCGAAGAAGTAATCCAGTGATTGACATCATGAGCATCGATCTACGCAATTGGGATACGATTATACGCACCGAGTCATGAGTCAACGAACCTGAACACTCGACCCCGTTCGTCGCCGCCAACGACAAGCATGGATTGCAATTCTAACATGGAATAAATTTGGATTTCAACATCCATGATCTATCTTATCCAGACTTATTCACTCACAAATGCATTAGCAATAGTGAACAACGAAGACGTGTTTGTCAGGAGCGATGAGTGCACATTACCTTCAATGAATACTACCATTGTCAGCATTATTACCACGTATGTAACTCATATGAGAGTAAGGCACGTTCGATATGTACTCATCTCATGCCCGGTACTGCTTTCAATCAGATTAACCACTACGGGGACAGAATATTGAATTCTTTTAATATGTTTTCTCATTAATTTATTCATGAGCGGATGTCGATAGGTTTTCCATCCAAATACAATTAACGCAATATGTATGTCACAGATGTACAAAATCCACACAGATGGTTGTTCATCATAACTCGATACTGTTGCACGAGAAAAGTTTCTAAACAAAAACGTCATTATTCGACCAAAAACAGGTTAAAAGATGAAATGACCCGTGAAGATCCGGGATAGAATGGGTCTTCAGCAACCCATGCTTGTCATAAAAGGCGACTCTGGTTTTTTCGGAGGAGGCGACTAACGGGATCGGATTGTCAGGCTCGATGACTTGGTTGATGCATGTCATCGTATCCCATTTGAGTGGATCGATGCTTTTGATGTTAATCTCTAGATTGTCTGGTCCAGATTCGATTTTTACAGACCGCTGACGTGTAGCAGTAATATTGCGGAGTGGGGCGTTAAACAACAAACAAACAAACGAAAAAAAAAAAAAAGATGAAGTATGATATTTGAGTTACCTGATCCTAGTGGAAGACAAGACGCAGTAACGGATACTCGTATTTGTTTCGTGTTGATGTGTGAAATAGTTTGCCTATTGCATTACGAGTTGGACGCCTGTTCATTGTCGATTCACTGAACACGTAAAAAATGTTATTCGATGACCTAGATTTCTAGCTATAAATAGATACGAATACGCTACCTTTTTCACTGCGGGACCTGGGAATTCAACACCATTGTAACACCGTAAAGCACGAATAGGTCCAAAGTAAATATTCCAACTGAGATGCACATAGTTGGAGCTCCACACAGTCTGCTGACGTGCACATGGAAACTGTGTCTACTATTCGGTAAGAAACGGAATGTGCTGCAAGTCCGCAAGTCACGATGGCGGTAAGTTGCCTTTGTGTGTCAACTAAGTCACACATGAAGGTGCACTGTCGCTGTGTGTAACCGCGCGGTGTTTGGTGGATTGGCAGTCAATCAACACGCTGCGCCGAACCTGTACTTGCTACGCTAGAACATTATCAGCCGGGGGCCTTCGTGAGGAACCAATGGAGAAGCTGGTTTCACAACCATTCTGATATCTGCACATTTGAGCAGGCGTATGTGGGTCTCGGTGACATGCCATGCAGCAGTAAGTCATAAACTCTTAAGAAGGAAGGTCAGGATTAACCAATGGAGAAGCTGGTTTCACAACCATTCTGATATCTGCACATTTGAGCAGGCGTATGTGGGTCTCGGTGACATGCCATGCAGCAGTAGGTCACAAACTCTTAAGAAGGAATGTCAGGATTAACCATTGGAGAAGCTGGTTTCACAACCATGCTGATATCTGAACATTTGAATAATTTTGTATTGTGACTGTTAATAAGATAAACCCTTGTTGCAGCCGGTGCTTGAAACGACCTATCAGATCACATCACGGCGGCCTGTAAACAATCGAATCCTGGTCAGGCAAACGAGTAAGTGAAAGGATGAGCAACTATCAACGACTTGGTATTACAATGACATGTAACCTAGTCACATGGCCGACCCAGTTCTGTCGTCACTGACGGCGAGCGCTTGGCTACCATCAAGAATAAAGTAGTTCCATCAGGTGGCAAGTCGATGAATGTATTTTTCTAGTCTTCCAAAAAGGTTCCTCAAAAGGTGTGCACGTGTCTGTTGTCGCCATTGCAGCACTGCATTATAGTGACTTTGAAAGCATTGAACATCTTCCGTATTCACCAGTGTGACATGCATTATGATCATTTATGCTGTGGAGGACATTCTTACATCACCAGTAGGGAGTTGTGTACACCACTAGCATACAGGCACTACCGCATCGTTGGCAGACTTGTGTAGACGTCGGAGGGCATTATGTTGAAAAGTAATCAGCAGCCAGCGCCATCAACGCAGTCCATCATCATTAGGCTCATGCTTGTTCACCCTCTCATGTGTGCACACAAACATCTGAAGTAGCATTAGCATCTGTATCCTCACTCGATTGCAATGCGAGTGAGTGAGTGAGTGAGTGAGTGAGTGAGTGATGGTGGGTGGGTGTTTGGTTGAGTGAGTGAGTGAGTTTGGGTGAGTGAGTGAGTTTGGGTGAGTGAGTGAGTGAGTCATTCAGTAAGTGAGTGAGTGAGTCAATGAGTGATGTTGAAAGCCCTTTTGATCGTAACCCTACCACGGCGTGTGATCTTGATGTGGGAAGAAAGCCCGAAGTGATGCAGGTCTTCGACCATTTGCTTCTTTAGACATCCTTTCCTCCGCAATCCATCTTGACCAAATATGACTGGTATCATATTGTGTACTAAGAGAATAAATAACGAGCTACGGGGAATTACGGCTTATCTTTCCCAAGGGAATTACTGTCATAGATCCCGAGAGCCACTCAAAACAAATGTATCCCTACGCAACAGCAAACAAGCAAATTGCGGCGCCTGATGCCAAACTTGTGCTCTTAATAGTAAACCCGATACATTTTAATCTTCTTCATTAATCGAGGTGAGGTGAAATGGGGTTTAACGCCATGTTCAAGATTATTCCACTTATTGCGCGAAGAGCCGCTTTCGTGTGTGCGTGTGCGGCTGCTTGTACTCTTCCGGACTAATGCCGGTTTTATAGAGCATGCCGTTTGAGATATCATGCCGGAGGTTAACAGTGTACTGACTCCGAGTCGACCAATCCTTGTTTTATCCCCTTTAATGCTGCGTCCCAGGCTGGCTAACAACACGTAATTCTTTTTACGACGTTTGGTATGATGCGCCTGAGGGTGGAACCACCGACCTTGTACTCTCCGGAAAGACGCTCCATACACTAGACCACAAGGATATCTTCAATAGTTCATATTTGTTGCTATCTTTGCAGAGATCAGAACACAGAGTATTTGCAATCGTTGTGTTTGACAGCTTACTTAATCCTAGACTGGAGAAACAACGTTCCCTGACGATCCCACCTTCAATTATATGTAGCTTTATTTACTGAGATAATTGAAGATTTACAACTTTCGAAAGGGGAGGTGAACGAAGATATAAAAAATGTTAAAGGTCATATTTATACGGCATCGGAGAACCGTTATTAGTTTACTTGAAACATTATATTCACAAATGGAAAAGGATTTGGAAGGTTATCCAACTTAGGGCACCTCTCCTTGATATTTACATACTTTGTTTGCATTTGGTTGGTTGGTTTGTTGTTTAACGCCGCACTCAGCAATATTCCAGCTATATGACGGCGGTCTGTAAATAATCGAGTCTGGACCAGACAATCCAGTGATTGATATCATGAGCATCGATCCACGCAATTGGGATCGATGACATGCATCAACCAAGTCAGCGACCCTGACCACCCGATCCCGTTAGTCGCCTTTTACGACAAGCATAGTCACCTTTTACGACATTGTTTACAAATGTACATGTGTACAAGAGATGGCGAAGGATGACAAGAACAATAAAGAATGATGGGAATGGAAAGAAAGAAATATAGAAGAAAAGAAATAAATTAGACAAAGCGTTTGGTCTGATTGATGTTACTTTGCACGGCCTTATATACATATGTATTATGAATTGTTGATAGGTCTGCACTCCCCTCGAACAAAAGTTTCACATCGATTGGTACATTTATGTTTCGTTAAAGTATGCATTTTAATGTTAATATAAGTTGTTTTCTTTGACTAGTATATAATGGACTTTCTTGACTAGTATATAATGGATATTCAGACAAATAGTGGAAAGAGTTGTCTATGAAGTTGAGTGCCGTTATTGTCTCTTGGCGTGGGTCTCATATGGTACAAGGTTTAGTCCTGCCACGAAAATTTACGAAATCCTAACCTGGAGAAATATTATATCCCCGGTAATCCCCGAGACCACGTACTACTGAAGTTCGAACTGATGACGCATCTTCACATTCTAGAATCTGTAACCCAACACACAACAATTCGGCCTACATAACCCTACAATCGATAGTGTTTTGTGTTTCCAGGTGGTTTGAAACTATGAACAAACGGTTGTTCAACTCACAAATCTCATCAGTGACATGTGTTGCCGGTCTCCTCTTCCACTGCACTCTGAACTTGGAAATAGACAATGATTAGACATTAGTTAAGGACCAACAGCTGGCAAAGTGGCTTTCATTTCTGTGACCAAGGTTGGTGAATCACCGCTCTTCTTCTGATTTTGTAAGTAGCTGTGTTAAGTTGTCATACAAACAGTTTCATTATGATCACTGGGTTGTTAGCGTCTTGTAAGTGTTCATGGGTTTCATCCAGGGGTGCAGGTGACCTAAGTAAACCATTTTATGGAACGAATAAACAGTTCTTGTATCTGACGAGCGACGGCGTGTCCGATACAAGAATTATTCACGAGTTTCAAAAAGTTGGTATTAGATGCGAACAAGTTAAGCATTTTATCTATTTCTTGTCGTATATACAGTAAACTGCGGTTATAACGAACACGCTTATAACGAACTGACCGATATAACGAACTTATCTTTTAGTCCCGGCCGTTTGTTGTATATATGCTGTATATATGCTTATAACGAACTACGGTAATAACGAACCAAAATTAGTGGTCCCTTTGAGTTCGTTATAACCGTAGTTTACTGTATTGGGTTGCTGGGGTCATCGAATGTGCAAAAGCTCCTCTCAGTGATTTATCATCTCTAAACGCAATGTCATTGAATACGCCAAGCGATGTTGAGATTTTAATATTTGTTAGTGAAACTAGCTCCGGCAGTACATGAGCACGCGCTGTGGTACTAATGCCAGATCCTTTTTATTACACTGTGTGTCCCCTAAAGATTCCGGGTTATAATTGGACTTCAGCAACCCGTAATTGTCGTGAGAGGCGACAATGCCTGTCGGTAAGAATCGACGAATGGGATCGGTTGGTCAGGCTCGCTAGTTTGGGTGATGCATGTCATCAATCACTGGTTTTTATAATCGATTATTTACATATCGTCATCGTATGGCTGGAATATTGTGAGGCGTTAAACAACAAACAAACAAAATGTTAAACAGCGGTATCTTCTTCAACAGTCGAGTATTAAAGTGTGTCTGCCACTCATAGCAGTAATGTTATCAAATTGTGAGTGAGTGAGTTAGGTTTAACGCTGCTTTTTTTTACAGTATTCCAGTTATATCGCGGAGTGTCAGCTTAATGTGGGAGGAAAGCCCGATGTGATGCAGGTCTCAGACGTTTACCACTTCGGTGAAACCCACGAGCACTCGTATGGTGCTGACAAACCTAGAAACATAATCGGGGCGAACCGGGATTCGAACCCACAATCATAGGTTTCTGGCGTGCCCAAGGGACGCAACTCTGCACAGTGAATCGCGGCGCCTTAGACGACTGGGCCACCCGTGCCCCCTATCAAATTGTGAAAGGTTTATAATTACGAATACTGAACTTATGAACTGAAATTAGGCTGCTTCAGTTTCAGTGTTCGATGTTTCGCGTTCGGGTACATCTTCCCGAGGCAAGAGAGTTAACTGACTTTAAAAGTCAAGTTTCCACCCTTGCCGTCTTGGCTGGAATTACTGGGCTTGATCGTAGCGCAACCAGTGGCTATTACCAGTTATGTCCCTTCTAAGCGTCTCCTATGGACCAATCAGATTCCACCTCTCGTATAACTTGCGTTTGCTTCACACAAAATGGTGGCTCCCGGTCAGGACGATCTGATCGACAATCAAGATCTATATTGTGATAAAACGGGTCTTTCATCGCGAAATGCATCAAATCACGTGAGCACCTTGATTAAAAACATGTGGCCATTTGGAAAATATCTGCTCACAACGAGTTGGCGGTGCACATGCTTTGCAAATCTTGCAATCGACCGAAATCTGCACGACGGTTAACGAACCGGATTTCGATTTCGGTGCGCGCTTTTGATTGGACTATGCATAGACTCGTTAGTCCAGCCAAAATGTAACCCCATAATACCAGCCTAGTTCGGCAAGGGTGGAAACTGGACTTTTATAGTCAGTTAACTCCCTTGCCTCGGGAAGATGGTTCGGGTATGGTCATCTGCGGCACACATCGATCGATCATTAATCTTGTCACACAATGGATACTGCTTGACGATGACGATGACGGAGTCCTATGGCTTTGCGGTGCATGGTTCCCGTAGAATCGTTACAAACACCCGAAGAGAATCTCAGGACTTTCCATGGCAACTTTGTCTGTATGCTGCCATCAGTGCTGCGGGAAACCTGATATGGTACCTCTTGTCCACTAACAAGTCAACTATTCAACCAGAAAAAAACTTTTAGAGTTTCAAACAGATGATTACTATTTCTATAAATTACGGTTGATAAGGAATGCCACACATATGTGACTTAAGTCACAGTTTGTAACTATTTTGTGACAGTATTTTCAAATATCGACTCAAATGCCGTTCAATTACATTAATATTGAAACGATGAACGCAATGCTGTCTTTGGAAACCATTAAAATCATATTTAGGTTCTAATCGTTACAACAAAACATTTTCTGTCCATATAAACATGCACTACAAAACTAGAATTAAGCCCGAAACATTATATTTATGTTAAGCATAATTTGAATGCGATTACAATCATCAGATTGAGATGAGCTCAAATGACACGTTGCAACACAAATTGTTGTGAAATATGAGTGAGTGAGTGAGCATGGTTTAAGGCCGCTTTTAGCAATATTCCACAGCTGTCACAGCGGGGGATACCAGAAATAGGCTTTAAACATTGTACCCATGGGGGGAATCGAACCCAGGTTTCGAAGTAACAGTCGAACATTCTAACTACTTGGCTCCCTCGCCGCTCCTTGTGAAATATAAAAAATATCGCATCATGCAATGTTAATAAAAAGGAGAGTTGGATATTCTTGTTATATAAGTTTGTTCCGTCAACTGATGTACGTTGTTCTTTTTCAGATTTGTCAGGTGGTTCCCACTGGCTCGCTGATGTTACGAAAGGTGTCACTGTTATTCGGATTTATATCCGTCGTTGGTTTTCTATGGATAACATGCGTCAGCCTTTCACTGGTTTCACATAATGTTAATGAAATTAACACTGTTGAGAGGGAAGTGTACGGGAAGGACGTACACACATTTTACATTGATAAGAGGGGACATGACGTCTTAGTCTTCGTACAAATACCCTACACAGGAGAGAGCGATTTGTCAACGTTGCCACAGAACGGCCTCATATATGGCAACTGTCCAGAATGTATAACACAAAGAGACTGCCCATGCCATATAATAAGCAGAGAATCAGTGTTGTTTTCCAGCATTAAGCACCCATGGCCGTGTGGCGAGTATCCAGGTTTGAGGACGCAATGCTGTCTTTGGAAACCATTAAAATAAAATCTAGGTTCAAATCTTTACAACAAAACATTTTCTGTCCATATAAACATGCACTACAAAACTAGAATTAAGCCCGAAACATTATATTTACGTTAAGCATAATTTGAATGCGATTACAATCATCAGATTGAGATGAGCTCAAATGACACGTTGCAACACAAATTGTTATGAAATATGAGTGAGTGAGTGAGCATGGTTTAAGGCCGCTTTTAGCAATATTCCACAGCTGTCACAGCGGGGGATACCAGAAATAGGCTTTAAACATTGTACCGATGTGGGGAATCGAGCCCAGGTTTCGAAGTAACAGGCGAACATTCTAACTTCATGGCTCCCTCGCCGCTCCTTGTGAAATATAAAAATATCGCATCATGCAATGTTAATAAAAAGGAGGGTTGGATATTCTTGTTATATAAGTTTGTTCCGTCAACTGATGTACGTTGTTCTTTTTCAGATTTGTCAGGTGGTTCCCACTGGCTCGCTGATGTTACGAAAGGTGTCACTGATATTCGGATTTATATCCGTCGTTGGTTTTCTATGGATAACATGCATCAGCCTTTCACTGGTTTCATATGATGTTAGTGAAATTAACACTGTTGAGAAAGTGTACGGGAAGGACGTACACACATTTTACATTGATAAGAGGGGACATGACGTCTTAGTCTTCGTACAAATACCCTACACAGGAGAGAGCGATTTGTCAACGTTGCTACAGAACGGCCTTATATATGGCAACTGTCCAGAATGTATAACACAAAGAGACTGCCCATGCCATATAATAAGCAGAGAATCAGTGTTGTTTTCCAGCATTAAGCATCCATGGCCGTGTGGCGAGTACCCAGGTTTGAGGACGCTGGAGGCGTGTATAGGCTCCTCTCTAAACTTAGGCGTTCGTCGAAGACGTCGAAACAAAATGAGGCACGTAACAAAACATGTCACGGTAATGTTTCGTGTATGTCTAAATACATTGATTCTTTAATGTAATGTGTTTTATTTTACCCAAGTATCGTTGGTCATGGTTGTAGCCGCGAATAATATCTGAGTGTGTTTTGTACTAAATTGCAACCCCGTTCACTAGGACAGGGTCGTTCCAAGTGAATAACTTCCCAGATTTACGAATCGTTGTGTGAAATGTTTCTTTAGTTACATACTTACACACGTCACCTACTGTAATCTCTCTAAAACATGTAACAGGTAAAACATGACGCATATTCTCTTTCAGGTATCTTTACATGACACTTCTCCGATACCCAGCACACCATTTCTACCATGAGTGGAACGAAGTAAAGAAGCATGGATGGCCAAAGTGGTCTCAGGTTCCTTCGGACAAACTAGACCATGCGAGCCGAGAATGCCGTGCAATGTCCAAGGGGAAAGATGTCAGTTTCAAAACTTTCGCTGGCTGTCCACAGAACCCCGCCATCAACAGACAAACACAAATGTTAGCAAATATGTCCTTAGACGAATGCCTTTCTACCACTAAAATGTCGGAAGGTCAGTGTTATGATAAAATGTTGAGCAGTGCTAAAGATACCCTTAAACATATGGCATTCTTTGGAATAACGGAGTATTCGTACATGACTCAAGTGTTGTTTGAAGAGACGTTTCAGTTAAAGGTAATCGATAAATATGTTCATCCGCCGAATATGCAAACATTCATGTCTTCTTACGATATTTCACGTGAAGAATTCGAGGCCATATCTACGCTCAACAAATATGATTTCTTGCTGTATGATTATGCACAGGAGTTATTCTTTGAACGATATGACACTCTAGTCACGTACAGGGGTACTGAAGCCTAACAAAGAGGGCATTTTTTCACCAACTGTTTCTCTTTTTTTGTTTCGGCGTGTAGTCGTAATAAATCATGTATACAAGAACAAAGATACTCATTTATATGTCTTCCCTTACCTGACGTTCTGTTCAAATGCTCTGTTTTGGTTTGTGAAACACAGGAACGTATGCACACAATACAACCATCTGTAGCAAAGGAAACAGCAGAAGTCATGACGGCATATTAGATACACTTAGTACCCAAGGTATCCTAATTTTGGTTGCTGGTGGCCAACGGATTTTAGTAATCACATAAAAAATAGTTAAAGATAATTTGTAGTATTCTTCTGGTTATTGTTTATTATTACTAAATTCGTGCCATCGTGCTAACCATTTCGCTATATCATTTGCTCATGAGGTGAGGTGAGGTGAGGTGAGGTGAAATTGGGTTTAACGTCGCGTCCAAGAGTATTGCACTTATACAGCGACGTGCATGCACGCGTGTATGTGTGTGTGTGTGTGTGTGTGTGTGTGTGTGTGTGGCTGCTTCTACTAGTCCGGACTGATGGACACAGTATACTTACTCCGAGCCGACCAGTCCTTGTTTTAGCCCCTTAATGTCGAGCGCCAGACAGGGTAAAAACAAGTACCATCTTGAAACGTCTTTTGGTATGATGCGGCCGGGTGATCAAACACCAGACCTTCCGCTCTTCGGGCGGACGCTCTACCACTAGACCACGGAGGCGGTCCATTTGCTCATAGTTTGTTATTGCATACTAACTTACCTCGTTGCTGTATATGCTGAAACACTGCTAATGCGCTGTAAAAGATTAAAGAACACAAGCCTTGCTTTATATGGTCCGGACAAAGATTTCCAAAAGGCAGTGAAGGATTCTTCAATTTTCGCATCACCTTTTGTCAATGTCACTATGTTAAAACACCATATAATGCAAATGATGGGCTGGGGTGTTTGATCCTGCCCCACCGGTGGCATCGGGGCACGGGTGGCCCAGTCGTCTAAGGCGTCGCGATTCGCTGTGCAGAGTTGCGTCCCTTGGGCACGCCAGAAACCTATGATTGTGGGCTCGAATCCCGGTTCGCCCCGATTATGTTGATAGGTTTGTCAGCACCATACCCGTGCTCGTGGTAAACGTCTGAGACCTGCATCACCTCGGGCTTTCCTCCCACATTTAGCTGACACTCGCGATATAACTGGAATACTGTTAAAAGCGGCGTTAAAACCAACTCACTCACTCACCGGTGGCTTCTGTCAATTGAAACAAACACGGGAACATGTGGTACACGTGAACAAGTCAAAATAGGGAATTGTGTCTGAAATTATTTTCATCCCTGAATGGTTAAATTTGGAAATGTCCCCACTTGTCAACCATTAACCATATCTTTGCTATAAAGCTCTTTTAGATTGTTCCTCAAAACAGTTAAATTTCTATTGATTATATTCATATCTGCAACACATCACGTGTCTATGTGAGGTCAATAGAATCTGAGCGAGTTAGACCTCTCATCTCACTATTACCTTGCCACAAGCGTCAGCGTCGACGGTTGCAGGACTTCCTCTGCCAAGATCTTCTCATGCTGCTATAATTGGTGTTTTGCTCACTACGGTAATAGATGTAGATCTACGGTACGTTGAGAAATATACTGCCGACGGGATACTCATCTGAATGAAAGGTATGATTGACCGTAATTTTGTCTCAATGCCAAGATTCATTTGGAGGATAAACGTATTTCCTCCTCAGATCATGCATTTAGGCTACATCCACCCCACTGAATTGCCAATAAAGACACCGAGCATTCTAAAAGAGAATTGCCATGCGGAACGACAGTTCTTTGGTTCAAGTGACACGCCTCAAATGTCTACATGTTTACTCGCTTATTCTGTTTCTTTTGCAGCGTCTATTTTGACTGTATTTGGGTCACTTTAAGATCGACATCAGTCAGATTAGCATTGTTTTACTCTATTTCGAAAGATAACTGCATTTTCTTAATCTCACGACCGCCATCTATGAGAAGTATATCGCTTAACATAAGTGAGTGTGAGTGTGTATGGTTTTACGCCACTTTTTAGCAATATTCCAGAAATATCACGGCGGGGGACACTAGAAATGGGCTTCACATATTGTACCAATGTCGGGAATCGAACCCGGGCCTTCGGCGTGACGAGCGTACGCTTTAACCACTAGGCTACCCGACCGCCCCTATATCGCTTCATCCGATATTGCAGGTTTCCAAGAGCATAGTTGGTTACTCATGTACGCTATCTGGACATTCCACTGGATTGACAATCCATTTTGAACAATCATCACCTGTGTCTTATTGTATACACACTTGAGGGACACACCTGGATCAAGAGGAAACACCAGTTATCATCTGTGTCTTATTGTATACACACTTGAGGGACACACCTGGATCAAGCAAAAACACCAGTTATCATCTGTACCTTATTGTATACACACTTGAGGGACACACCTGGATCAAGAGGAAACACCAGTTATCATCTGTGTCTTATTGTATACACACTTGACGGACACACCTGGATCAAGCAAAAACACCAGTTATCATCTGTACCTTATTGTATACACACTTGAGGGACATACCTGGATCAAGCGCAAACGTCACTTAACACCTGTGTCTTATTGTATACAGAGTTGCGTGACACACCTGGATCAAGTGGAAACACCAGTTAACACCTGTGTCTAATTGTATACACACATAAGGGAAACGCCTGGATCAAGCGGGAACATCAGTTATTATCTGTGTCTTATTGTATACACACTTGAGGGAAACGCCTGGATCAAGAGGAAACACCAGTTATCATCTATGTCTTATTGTATACACACTTGAGGGAAACGCCTGGATCAAGAGGAAACACCAGTTATCATCTATGTCTTATTGTATACACACTTGAGGGAAACGCCTGGATCAAGAGGAAACACCAGTTATCACCTATGTCTTATTGTATACACACTTGAGGGAAACGCCTGGATCAAGAGGAAACACCAGTTATCACCTATGTCTTATTGTATACACACTTGAGGGAAACGCCTGGATCAAGAGGAAACACCCGTTATCACCTATGTCTTATTGTATACACACTTGAGGGAAACGCCTGGATCAAGAGGAAACACCCGTTATCACCTGTTTTTTTATACACACTTGAGGGACATACCTGGATCAAGCGGAAACGTCACTTAACACCTGTGTCTTATTGTATACAGAGTTGCGGGACACACCTGGATCAAGTGGAAACACCAGTTAACACCTGTGTCTAATTGTATACACACTTGAGGGACACACCTGGATCAAGCGGAAACATCAGTTATCACCTGTGTTTTTTGTATACACACCTGAGGGACACACCTGGACCAAGAGGAAACACCAGTTATCACATGTGTTTATTATATACACACCTGAGGGACACAACTGGACCAAGAGGAAACATCAATTACCACATGTGTCTTATTGTATACACGGTTGGGGGACACAACTGGACAAAGAGGAAATATCAGTTATGACGTGTCTTATAAAGTATACACAGTTTCGGGAAACATCAAGAGGAAACAATTGTTATAACTGGTGTCCTTAAGTGTTCAATAGGGTGGTTCCCCGGTCGCGTATTATGCCAACAATTACATTATTCGATGTGGCTTTGAATGCCAAACTCGCTCGAATACTGATCACTTACCTGTTCGCGTCTTGCAATTGTTAACTTAAATTTCCTCGGGATAACCGAAAACATATCTGTTATGACCAGTCAAGATAAGGTGTATCATTCAGTATAGCGCCTATCACGATTCTCCCTTGCCATACGTTACATCGTCATAAACACCATTCTTCGGTAACGTTACAGAATTCGAGTAAACGATATTTGGCTGTATGTGCGAACACGTTCACGATATAACCAGTGGGAACCAATGGCCAAGCGGCCGAACAAACCGTATGTCACTGCGCAGAGTTGCGTCCCTTAGATGTACCAGCATCCAATGGACGTAGTCGTTGTGATCCCAGATTTGTCAACCCATTCACAATTCACACGGAGACTCATTCACAAAATGGACTGGCTTAACAGCTAAAAAATAGGCTGAACCGTTCACACAAAATGTGGCTGAGTCACGTGCACAAACTGGTTGACGCGTCATAGTTAGTTCCGCCAAAGTTTTTGCGCTAGGAATTAATCTGACATGCTGAGATATAACCGACATGATATACTGTTCAAAACATTGTTAAACCCAACTCACTCATCCGACATTTTCTTTGTTCGTCCATTATAATGTATATTCCTCTGAAACGGGTAAGGACCACCGATTCTTTCTTTCATATTACTATAGATAATCTGTCACGCCATATGACATATGTGACTGATAACAAATCAATACAAATACTTACAACATTTGTGTAAGGCAACTTTAATTAGGAATGATAAAATATACTTGATTATAAAATCACATCACTCGTTAGAATCAGAATGGCCATGATACCAGTTTGTTGGAAAGTCACACGTCAAGGTATGGAAAAAGGTCATGATAATAATAACCATATTGTAACAAGATATTTCAACAGAAAACACATAATTCTGATAACATCAGGAAGGAACATTCAGATACGTTAGCTTGTAAACACATACACACCCTTCTACCCATGCCTGCCGTAAAAGGCGACTATGCTTGTCGTAAGAGGCGACTAACGGGATCGGGTGGACAGACTCGCTGACTTGGTTGATGCATGTCATCGTACCCCAATTGCGTAGATCGATGCTCATAATGTCAACCACTGGATTGTCTGGTCCAGACTCGATTATTTACAGACCGCCGTCATATAGCTGGAATATTGCTGAGTGCGGCGTTAAACAACAAATAATCAATAATCACACCCTTCTACTTTGGATACTTCGTATGTAGTACATGTAAACATATATGTCTATATATATTCTATATCAAATAACATTTGTCACAAAATGCAAACTTGGAAAACGTCTTCTCGTTATCACTTTGTACAACAAAACAAACGATAAGAAAGGTTCAAGGACGGGCAAGGTAAGTACAACATTCATATTGTTCGTATCTCATTTGTGTCACAAATGATAATAGCATTGTATAAATATATGTCTCATTGAAAACATTCATCTTCACATTAATCTTAGCTCATGAGTAAAGCATGGCTCTTAGATGTCAGAATACAGAGTTTATGCATGCATTAACAGGGAGTCTCGGTTTTATAATGAAGAGAGCCGCCATAACGTAATCATACACACGTCTGCAGCCATATGAGAACACACTCAACACAGTATGGGTCAATCAAATCGTATAGTCACTGGGTGACATCAGCGACATGTGGTTGGTTAGGGCATCAACACTCAGAGGAACAAGGAGAACAGCCAGATGAAGAAAATTATGAAGCGTCTATGATTTAAATCTCGGGTGAAAAGAAAGTATACCGAGTTCGTTTTTTATGCAATTGAAAGTTGAAAGAACTGTTGCCATATTTGAATGTGTCTATTGAACCATCATTCATTCCTTCAGCAGTTGGTAAAAAGTAATCTTTGGATGGGTAACTGGGGTAAACATATATTGGTTCAATGCAGACTCGGTTAAAAAATTAATTTGTAACCACTTAACCTTTACCAACTTTTTAATGTTGTAAATTTGTGGCGAAAAAAACAACAACACATTTATTGATTTTCAAGATAAGATGTCTAAATTACCAATCAGCATATGCGAAAAAAAACCTTTTAGCTTTTTTTGTTGGATATAACATCGCCAACTTGAAATGTTTTCAGATGAAAATCAAACACATGATACAATCAAATCAACAGAGGTATAGTTTCTTTTCCCCCACAGTTTATGTTCTTCACATGAGACACCATATTGGATTGAACAAGTAGGCTACGTCTGTTATATTGCAATGTTACATTAAACACAGTGTTATTGTTTTGCTCATAATTCGTGTCTTGAAAGAAAGATCAATTTGATGTTTATATGGTTTTAGCTAAACGATAACGCTGCATCTAACAGCTTGATATAGATCATGAATGTCAAAATATATCACTCAAAACAAGTTAAGGAACATCACAATTGGTGCATTACCCATCGCCTTGACAGATTTGTGTGAGTTGGGTTTTAAGCCGCTTTTATAAATATTCCAGCTATATCCACCAGAAAATAGCTTCACATATTTAACCCATGTTATGCTATGACAGACAAACAGGTCTTATGAAAGAAGTGTGTTTTCTTTAACTTCCCTTTAGACGTATATTATAAACTAAATATTGATATAATTATGTCTGAGGCACGTGATTACATCATTATTATCTACATAGACAAACAAGTAAAAGACAGGTGCATACACACCGGTATTTGACTAGTGTTATTCGAATGCCATGTAGCTCTTATGGGAGGACACCGCTACATTGCACTTTCGATCGAAGCAAGCCACCGAAATGGCTACATTATTTAATACAATGCGTTAGTTACCCTGAGTGTGTCTGGAGTAAATACTGGCTGTTTTGAAGTGTGTGACTCTTCTCAGTAGCACCCATTATTAGTTGGCAAGGATCACGACACTAAACCGGCACACCATTTCTCGCTCAAATATCCACGAGTATCAAGAAATATGTCAACATGTGAACAGTGGATACTCCCTGAACCATAAACTCTCAACACCGTCCACTTCATATTGAGGTCCGGACGGTAGGAACGAATCCACACAAAAATTACTTTCAACAAGTTATTCGGGTCCAACATGGGTGACGTCGGCTTGAGAGGGTCGGTTGCAACGTTCTTCGTCTAGTTTATTCTTGTAGTATTTGATCTTCAATTGCAAAAGTTCACATTTGAGCTTGTGTTCGGCTTCAACACAGTTCCTCTCAAACTTCAAGTTCTTCATTCTAACCTCATGTTCCAGTCTCCTGTATTGAGCAGCCTTCTTCATCTTGCGGGGCGATGGAAGCGGTACGTGGCCATTGACACTTGCACGGGCAGTATTTGACGCCATTGGTCTAGATGACGTGATAGGACGGTGGGAGTTACCGCCCTTTCTTAAAGGTTGTGTAGAACTGTTAAATCGCTGAGCATTTTTGTACTGTGGTGGACTTGTATTGCAATGCTGATGGTGATTATGCATCCAGTTATCACGTGGTGGGAGGTTTCCTTCACTTGATACAGCGTCTGACAACCGAGGAACAAGCAATCCCTGGGACCCCGGGTGGTCGTACACGCCACGCTCAAAGAGTATAGAGGTGGCAATGCGATCAACTGACTTACTAATGCTTCGTTCCGGGGCTTTGTAAGTAGGCACTGAACACGGCAATCTCGTGGGGACACTTCTCTCCAGGCGTTGAACCTTCTCATCCGGGGGTCCTTCACGGGGAGGGGAACGAGATGGGGATGACGCGAGCGCGGAAACTGATGACGACAGCACATGTGATGATGATGGAGGAATCAGTAACGATGGTGTGGATGCGGTGGGAGAGTAAACGTAATTTACAGGGCCCGACTCCGGAAGGGGTGAAGGAGAATTACTGACGGAGTAGGGTTGTGGATGGGCGTTGAAGGTGACAGTGAAGTCGTCATGGGCGGCATCTTCGTCGTCGCTATTACGTTCTGCTTTCACTGGAAATATCAAACAGAAGTACTTTAATACGCACAATAATAATAGTCACATAATAGTATGCATAAACCGACTTGAATTCCATAGTTAAATCTTCAATTGTTCAAAATAAATTTGTATTTTATCATCACAACTTCTAGTGACGGGACTCGGATAAGATAAACATCAACGCAAAGTGAGTGAGTGAGTATGGTTTTACGCCGCTTTTAGCAATATTCCAGCAATATCACGGCGGGGGACACCAGAAATGGGCTTCACACATTGTACCCATGTCGGGAATCGAACCCGGGTCTTCGGCGTGACGAGCGAACGCTTTAACCACTGGGCTACCCGACCGCCCCATCAACGCAAAGGGACACCACCCAAAC